AACGCATCATGGCAGGAGAGATATGCCTCACACGGCGGGAGAGATGTCTCACACAGGTGGAGGTATGCCTCAGATGAGGGGGGGGATGCACCGAATGACCAGAGATATGCCCTGTGGACCACCCCCTACCGGAGATGGGCAAAACATGACTCGTGAAATGCGCGGGGGCATGGCACGCCCCATGCCTGATATGGATCAGCCGCAGTAGCAAGAAAGGTGTAGAGTAGAACAAATTTTTTGCCTCGTTGACAATGATGGTGTGCAGATGAGTTTGATACAAACTTACGGATGTTCGAAACACAGGCTGGGGTGAACTAGGTGGTCAAGACCACGGACAGTCAAATTGCCGGACCAAATGGCGGCGTGGCTTGGGTGGTGCAAGGGAAGTGCTTCGAGAACTAAGACCAAGTAGTTTGGCTCGTGGAGAACGGTGAGCGTGAGCAGCTTCATCGAACCGATCTGCGACCTCCTGTCGCAATCTACGCTCACAGATTGTGGTTTACAGATCGTCTTAATAGAATGTCAGGATACGGAGACCAAGCGCAAGTACCTCATATGACCCCCGGCAGAATGCCCACGAACGAAGAGGGAGCACAAATGTCCCATATGACACCCCAAAACATGAATGGAGATTCTCCCACAACGCATCATGGCAGGAGAGATATGCCTCACACGGCGGGAGAGATGTCTCACACAGGTGGAGGTATGCCTCAGATGAGGGGGGGTATGCATCGAATGACCAGAGATATGCCATGTGGACCACCCCCTACCGGAGATGGGCAAAACATGACTCGTGAGATGCGCGGGGGCATGGCACGCCCCATGCCTGATATGGATCAGCCGCAGTAGCAAGAAAGGTGTAGAGTAGAACAAATTTTTTGCCTCGTTGACAATGATGGTGTGCAGATGAGTTTGATACAAACTTACGGATGTTCGAAACACAGGCTGCGGTGAACTAGGTGGTCAAGACCACGGACAGTCAAATTGCCGGACCAAATGGCGGCGTGGCTTGGGTGGTGCAAGGGAAGTGCTTCGAGAACTAAGACCAAGTAGTTTGGCTCGTGG